AACGGAAGCTGCAAAACGCCCCCCCCCGTCGACCAACTGCGCCGGTTTTTTTTTATTCTAATTCTAATCTATCTTTCGAGGGCACACCTTGTTACTTTGGATCATACTCAAGAAGTGTGTAGCTTAGCCACTCGAGGCGAGGGCATTTCTGCATATTTTTAGTGGCGCGTGAAGTGTGTTCGTACAATGCGTTAGCGTTTTAAGTGTACACCAGGGCACGCCGGCGTTTTGAGTGATGGCTGCATAAGCTGGCGTTTGCTGGATCGATACCTATACATTCTGGATGCTGAAGTGCTCGTACGCTCAAAAATACTGACGCAAGGTACGAACACACTCTAACGTGGTTGGAAGGGGCCTGCCCTTCGATTAGAGCGACCATTCCTACTTGGCATTTTGCGCAACTTCCTCTCAGGCACATAGGATATCGTCCTTAACACCGGATCACGCTTAAAGATGCGCTAAGTCGCCACGGCCCCGGCATATTGTCGCCAAATGACCCACTCTAAGGCAGCGTTCAGAACGACGGCAGCGCCTCGCTCGCGCGTCCGATGCAGCGCGTGCTTTCGACTGCATCGATCGCGTCGAACGTGTGAGAGCGCTTCGCGACAACAGCGCTTCGGTCGCGTTCAGACTTCGCGATCCAGATCGCGCGATCGCGAAGTCTCTCTGACCGAAGCGCTGTTGTCGCGAAGTCGGAAGGCTGTCTAACTACTTATCGCATTTTTCAAGCCACGTAACCGTCAGTAATGCTTTCTTGAGTACCAATGATCTGTAGGTTTTCTAGGTAGAAAAGGTCGACTTTGTAGTGGCCAACGATTTCTCAGAGAATGCCGTCGAGTCGATTAAAGAGAACATTCGTCTGAATGGTGTCGAGGATAAAGTTCGTGCTACGTTTGGCGATGCAGTGTAGGTTTCAGGCTATTTAATGTACGGATTTCTGCAGAACACTGAGCCGTGTGAAAGCGCGTCTCAGTGGACTTATCAGTGCTACCGCTCTTCAGCTGTTTCTAGTTTGGTTGCAGGGTGACGATGATGAGTCATCGCAGCGTTGACAAACGGTTTCACGCTGTTGATCTCGATCCCTATGGTTCCGCTTCTGTATTTCTAGACTCCGCTGTACAGTGCGTTGCAGATCGAGGTGGGAATATCTTTAGTTGTCTCCTGTAACGCTTTGTGCGAACTGAGGCGCTGTTCGACTTGGAGAGAGCATTTTTTTGCCGAACGTTGCCCCACCAAGACAAATTGCACCATATTGTCAAATGAAGATCTCCATTATATTGATTAGTTACGCTGCAGGTATACTTATGGTGACTTGTACTGATATGGCAGTTTTATGTGGAAATACACCAGAGACTTGCTATAATAAGTACGGTTCGACTACAGTACGCCTAAAGTGTTGTCACGAAATGGTAGGTTCCCTTCACTATTGACGCTGCACTTGTGGGGGAGGGGGTTACGGGCAACTTGAAGGTCAATGTGAGCTCACAGACTCCACCTTTTCACCAGGATAGGTGGCTCACCCATACCCTAGTCCCCTCAATTCGAAAAAGTCCATACCTTGGGTCTTCGCGTGTTGCGTCTCTCATGAATAGTTAGGAAAGCTTGCAATACCACACTTGGCAGTTACCCGCAGTTGGGAGGAACCATGCCGCGATGCGAGTAATCGTACGTGTGCTTGTCTGTGTTCTCCCACCGAGTCAGTGATAACTTCTCAGCCTTAAAGAACGCCGGAAGACGGCGGAACTGAGCGCCGTCTGGTCTCACAATGTGCCCCTCCAACTTCAGGAACGCCGTAATGACTCGCAACTACTTCATTATTGTCCGGACCTTTGACATTTGGTCCTTTACCTTGTTTTTATTGCCAGAAAGGCTTAAGATTTTCAGGCACTGAGGATTCTTTTACGGGCAATAGATTCTCAGGCTAACAAATATACTCGATATATTGAACCACTGTTATCTATCAGCGTTGATTTTTACGTTCGAGTGTTTGTTCGACTACATACTGGTGCCAGAATGGCCAAGGAATCTGGAACGTGAGTATCTAAGATCTGATTATGAGGCATTTCAACACACGTTCGTCATTTCACTGAAGTTGGTCAAAAGTGGATCATCAGTAAGTAGTCGATTGAAGTGGGTATTGATTCAGAAAAGTTGGAAACTTATTGGCCTGCTCGGGTTGTCACTCTCTTGAAGTAGTACCAATTCTTAAGAAGGTGGAAGATGGCAAAAGTCTAAAGTATACTACAGGCGTAGTGCGGCAGACATTGATGGGTGAGTTTTACTTTTTTTAAAGCGATATAAATGATATTTTATTGGAAAGGCTTGTACGAATCAATCCACGGTTAAGCCCAAGGGAGCTTACCAGGAAACATCTTTTTTCAGCAAAAATGCTTAGTTGTAGGCAAAAGGCTTGGCCCAGCTTAGACTCGGATCTGCACGTGACGCAAAAGACGCTTCTTCCAGAGCTTTTGACCATGAATGAGCGAGTTCGGCGACGGGGACGGGGCATCTTGCACTTTCGCTGCTTCACTAGTTCCAGTTTACAAGTCTCAAATCAGACAGGTGGTTTCTACAAACTTTGGCTGGTTTCATTTCGTGGCTTCACAAGATTTCACAGGTCTCCACTTGATGGCTCGACACGTCGACGGGAAGTAGCAAAAGTGCAATATAATCCCACCCCTCCCACGCCTTACCCATCCCCAGCCCGTCGTGAAACTGCGCTCATGAATGAACGTGTTTAGCACAGATCTCTCGAAAATATGCGTAATAGATGCTGATTAGGCAAGAGCTGCGTTTTCGATTGCCGTTTTTCCGTTCCCATAGCCTTGAGTGGAATTTAAGTACTGAAGGTTGTGGTGTTCTCACCCGAACGAGATGTACCAATTTCAGGTGGTGATAACAAGTGCGTCCACTGTGGTCATCCAGTGCACCAGGCTGGACCTATTTGGACCGGCGCAATACATAATCGTGAATTCGTGGAAGGCATACTGAAAAGGTACCAATAGAACTTTGCTTTTTCTACCTTGAGCTCTGTACTGTTCACGTAGCGGTAGCTGTGTATGTCACGGCGATGTGCCTGGCAATCTTGATTGTATCTGAAACATTCTATCTATGTGTGGTTGGTTGCGTGTGACTGCGGAAATGGAACTAACTAGGAGTGGTGTGACGGGCGTGTTTTAACATACTTTTTTGTTAACTCTTTTGAGTTATCTGTGAGGAAAGTGATGGAAAACTTACGACTGACGTGAAATTGATCTATTATAGCACAGATTCCTGCCGATGCTAAGTCTCATGCCATAAAGCAGGCGCAGTTTGATTTGACATGGGCATTTCTCTGGTTACCATCAATGACGCTAAATCTCCTCTTGGGTGTGGCGTTTTCTTAACTCGTGTTAACTTGTCGACAGGAACACCGGACTTCATGTAGACCCGTCATCGTAGACATTCATGACTATTTTCGGTTCTGAATTGCCTGTTGTCGCCATCTACTACCTGGAACCATCGTCATTTGCGGGCGCGACGTCGCACGCGACGCCCACCAGCGCTTCGAATTACTCTCTTGTCACATACCCGTAGCAACGGATGTTAACGAAAATGCAAAAGCAACCCCCTCCCCAAGCCGAACAACGCTATTAAGCCAGTATGAGCAAAGGTTCTCGTCATTTTGGTTCAGTGGCATCACCACAGTGTCATTAGTTGTTTCTTCTGCTGCTCAATTCTCCATGCTGAATTTCATGTCGATTTTTAGACTGAAAGAAACCCCAGAGGAAGAGCGACTGGGCACGCATAGTCGCCTGTTGGGTGTCCTTACCAATGTGTCAGAAGTAAGCTTTGAAATTGATTTCGCCAAATATTCTTGGATGTCCGGTTTATTTGGGGCACACAGAATGTTTTCAGGAGCTTGACGTGCCTCTATACTACGAGCACGATCAACTATTCAATGTTGTAAAATGCAGTGTTCCGAAAGCTGTTGCGGTTAAGTCGGCTATTTTGAATGCTGGTTATAAGGTTATTCGTACAATGGAGAGGCGCTGTTCGGCTTGGAGGGGGCATGCATTTATGATTTCTTGGGTTCCTTCTGAGACTGTGTAAAAAAAATAACAGGTTTTACTTTGGTGAGATCTGTAAGCTACTGTGAAGTTCTGAACTTGTTCAAGTGAGCCTTTTTCGTCAAAGAAATTTACAGGTTTTCACAAGATTGCCTGTACAAGCTTAGTGGGTACCATTGCCCTCACCAAGCCACACTGCGCCGAATGGAGATTTGGAAATTCTTTTCATCTTGAAGACTTTTATAGGTC